AGGTAAAGACTAACCTAGAGGAGGGAATCAATGACCTTAAGGTAATAAACCTTTCCAATTTTCAATTGAATCATATTACTCCGCGTGGATCATTTAGTAACCTACTTTCTCCAGGTAGGAGTGCTCTTGTCACACTACCATATTGTTTAGTACCAAGGAGTTCTGTCTGCTTAACACTTCATGAAAACACCAAAATTGAAGGAAGGACTGTTCACTTGAATTTTAAATAGCTAGGCTTACTTCCTAGTGGCTTTTTTTCCCTTTTCATTGATTTATTTTAATGGCAGTCTTCTTGCTCTGGGACTTGCATAATGTGTGTTTGTTTCAGCAAAGACAATGGGTGGCACTCACCAGAGATTGGACAAAGTGGAGAGCATGACACCACCACTACTCACCCAATCAAAGAACAACTTGCTTTCTTTCAGGAACTGTAAAGCATTCTCTGAATAGCACATATGGAGTTGCCAACATTTTGTGTTCAGAATGCAGCAGGACATCTGCTCAGCAGAGGACCAAAAATCGAGTGGAGATCTCTGGAATAGCGGTGTCTAATTCTGTGATTTCCAGCTTCCAGAGGCATCAGCCTAATACGATATATACATGCAGGGCCACCAATAAGGGGGTACCTCTGGGCCTTCTATAGGGGGCCCGGACCCTTCACTCTGACTGGGGTGCCAGCTAGCCAGCCAGCAACTTCAAGATTCATAATGCAGTAGCTACAGTTGGAACTTGACCTCCGGTGCTTGCCCCTCGTATTGCTGCTCACTATATTCAACTGTCACTTATAAACACAGAAGCCCAGCTTCTGTGTTTTATAAGTGACAGCGATCCTCTCCCAGCAGCACACTCAACCCTCCCTGCTCTCCATGCATATGCAATGGAGCAGGAGGGGGTGGGGCAAGGCAGGGCATGCACAAAGCTCTATCCTTGTGCCTGCAGCATCTACAGAAGCTGGCACCAGCAGCCTGATTTTTACTGTAAGTTACTGTACACTATCTTCTGTGGGTAGAATAGAATTCTGAACCCTGCACTTTGTATGTATTGTACTCCTGAACCCTACACTCTGTACGCTGCACACTCCTCAACCCTACAATTTGCACTCTGTGCATAGCATTCTCATGAGCTCTACACTCTGTACACTGCACTCCTCAACCCTACACTTTGTATGTAGTCCAATGCTAAATTCTGCACTGTATACTTGCACTTTCTGCATTCCTCAACCCTGTACATAGCACAGTCCTCAACTCTGCACTCTGTTCACAGCACACTAGTTAAACCCTGCACTCCATGTGTAGCACACTCCTCAACCCTGCATTTGTATGTAGCACACCACTAAATTCTGCTCTGTATACTTGCACTTTCTGCATTCCTCAACCCTGTACCAGGGGCTGACTGACAACTCATGGGGCCCCTGGGCAATAGGGGATCATGGGGCCCCTGTGTCCTTGCCCAAACTCAAAATAGCCTATGAAAAAATGTACCAGGGGCATCTCATGGGGCCCCCTACTGACCCCTGCCCTTGGGCAGTGCCCGAGTTTCCAAATGGTCAGTCCGCCCCTGCCCTGTACACAGCACAGTCCTCAACTCTGCACTCTGTTCACAGCACACCACTTAAACCCTGCACTCCGTGTGTAGCACACTTCTCAACCCTGCACTTTGTATGTAGTACATCACTAAATTCTGCACTGTATACTTGCACTTTCTGCATTCCTCAACCCTGTACATAGCACAGTCCTCAACTCTGCACTCTGTTCACAGCACACTACTTAAACCATGCACTCCATGTGTAGCACACTCCTCAACTCTGCACTTTGTACATAGCGCACCCCTGAATTCTGCACTGTGTACATAGTACACTGCTGAACTCTGCATTCTGTATGTAGCACACTGGGGTGGGGTATTAATATATAAACAGGGGGTGCAGCTCTATGGAACCATAAACAATTCATAAAATACAAATGAATAAAATGCTAAAAACGCTATGAAAACAGGTGTCTCAGTGTGCATAAATTATTGTGAATAACACACTGTGGTGCAAAACACATAAAAGTGCAAAGAGTAAAGTCCACACATAAATAATACATGTCACTGTATCGTGACCAATCAGAAATATTCGTGAGTGCCCAGTCCACAATATCCCAGTGGGTTGAGTGTTGAGAGGATCATGAGGATCTCTTATGATGAATATAAACGTGGTGATATCCAAAACTGATATAAGACTGCGCACTCACCAGATGCGCAATTAATATGCGCATGTAACAGATAACCCCTCTTAAGGTTTGAATCCAGGAAACCCTCTGGAATGTGGTCTGGTCTATTCCTGTGCTCTGCTCACCCAGTTATCAAGCATGGCTCTTTCCTCCTTTAGACGTGACTCTGTGGGTGGTAGAAAACTCACAAGGAGCCCCAGAAAGAAAGGCGGAATAGCGTAATACTGCTTGATAATACAGATTTATTCCATCCAGAAAGCATGAGAGTACAAGAAACAGATACTGACCAGATAATCCAAGATGGCCACCGGGACCCACGTGGTGTCGGCGGCAGCGTGACGTCACTGCACTGTATCTCCTCTCTGGCGCGTTTCGTGCAACCGAACGTATTCATAGGGGGTATTGTTGATGATGTTGATGGCCAGTGATGCGATGGGGACGAGATAGAGTTCCTGCACCTATTCTCTGAGAAAATAAGCCCTGTAGCCTTAGGCCTCATTTACATTGTATTTGTAACTGTTCCTTTTGGAGTCCTGATAGATATACTAATAGTCTTTCAGTCCCTATGCTGCAACAGAATTTTAAATGCAGTAGTCGCACACTAATGCATATTTCAAAGATCTTTCAGATCTTATTATAGTTGTGCATGTCCTCCAATGTCACTTTCCTTTTATAGATGACTTATTCTTACATTTCACGTGCGTTACTCCTGGAAATAAAATGATCAGAGCAGGGACACATGTTTCAGGTTTATGCCACGATTTGGGCTCGTTTTCTGCATTTCTCAATGGCAGCGTCCCAAGTCCACTCTGCCAGATGAATACAATAGGGTTATTCTACTTCTGTTTAAAAGGTTACAATTATGTTCATGTGACAGCAGTGGATATTTTCAAACTTAAAGCTTTACAGCAGTAACATACATTCAAGCACTGGGTTGTACAATAGGTACTGACAACCATAATAAATATTCCTTCCTGTCTGGGATTTGTGCCTGCTATGAAAACACAATACACTTAGACGGTATATATTTGATTGGCTGTGCTGGCATTTCAGGCAATCTGTTAAAATGGCATTATGCCCAAGCCGCAAGTAGGTTGTACGCTCGCCCTGGGGCACAGGTGCTTGGAAACCACAGGAGTCAAAGAACAGAACACTGAAAATTCCATCACTTTCTGTCACAATAGCTGGGTGACAGCATTCAGGAAATGCAAACAGATAACTTTCCTGTATACAATCTGTTGACAAATTTAGTGCCAGTGTGTTCTAAAAAAAAGCAGCACTCAGGGGGGCATAGGTAGACTTCACGAAATGAGTTATATTTCGATAGGCTGCGGGATGCTAAATTACCTGTGTTGCTAGGGATTGTAAACGTGACATATTTTGGTGAGTTTACCAACCTTTTAACCACTTGCCCTACAGAGGATTTACCCCCCTTCCTGACCATGCCATTTTTTGCGATACGGCGCTGTGTAATTTTCACTGACAATTGCGCAGTCATGCAACGCTGGACCCTAATGAAGTTCACGTACTTTTTTCCCACAAATTGAGCTTTCTTTTGGTGGTATTTGATCTCCCGTGTATTTTTTATTTTTTGCACAATATAAAAAAAGACCGACAATTTTGAAAAAAAAAAATATTTTGAGTTTTTGCTATTAAACATGTCCTGTGAAAAAAGTAGAAAAATCAAATTTCGTCATAAATTTAGGCCAAAATGTATTCTGCTACATGTCTTTGTTAGAAAAAATCCAAATACGTGTACATTAATTGGTTTATGTGAAAGCTATAGCATTTACAAATGGCAGTATATATACTGGTATTTTTTTTACATTTTTTTTTTATTACTAGTAATGGCAGAGATCAGCGACTTGTAGCGGGACTGCAGCGGGCATTCTGACACTGAGGGGAACTGACTTGGTGTCACTGACATCTCTAGTGACACCAATAAAGTGATCAGTGCTAAAAAAAAAGCACTGACACTGTACTAATGGCACTGGGCAGGAAGGGGTTAACATGAGGGGCGATCAAAGGGTTAACTGTGTGCTGTTTCACTACGTGCTGTGTCCGTGTGCTTCACTGTAAGCACACTGCTTTGCATGGCTGTGCTGTGCACAGCCATTGAACGCAGTGTGCACAAGCTGACGGAGAACTGTTTTGTTACATACAGTTCTCCTCCACTTCAGAGATGTCGGTAATCACCGGGTGCCGGCAACTAATTGCTGTCCGGGAATAGGTGATTGACAGCCACGAATGAAAATGCAAAATCGTGTATATATAAAGATATATATACGTGATTTTTGCGCACCTGTGCCACCCTATAGCAGTATTTCTGCTATAGGGCGGTCAGGAAGCGATTAAACACATCATCAGAGCCAATACTGGATACTGATATGCCTTTGGCAACACAGTTGTCTCTGAGTATATATCTCTTTTTAACTCAATAAAGTTAACTCTCAGGTAAAGCACTAGGCTAGAGCTCCCTCTGTTTCCTTGTTTTTGCAATTGAGTACTGTCCGTGATACTTTTTTTTTTCTTGTTTTTGCAGTGAGTTCTTTGGGTTTTCCCTGAGCCCTTAACCACTAGCCTACTGGGCACTTATACCCCCTTCCTGCCCAGGCCAATTTTCAGCTTTCAGAGCTGTCACACTTTGAATGACAATTGCGCGGTCATGCAACACTGTACCCATATGAATTTTTTATCATTTTTTTGAGAGCTTTCTTTTGGTGGTATTTTCTTAGTTTTTGTTTTAAAATTTTGTAAATAAGTGATTTTTTTCCTTCACTGATATGCGCTAATGAGGCTGCAGTGATGGGCACTGATAGGTGGCACTGATGGGCACTGATGAGGAGGCACTGGTATGTGGCACTGATGGGCATTGACAGGCATCACTGATGGGCACTGAAAGGCAGCACTCATATATGGCACTGATAGGCGGCACTGATAGGTGGCACTGATAGGCGGTACTGACTGGCACTGATAGGCGGCACTGATTTGCACTGTTAGGTGGTATTGATAGGTGGCACTGATAGGCGGTATTGACTGGCACTGATAGGCGGCACTGATGCACACTGATAGTTGGCACTGATTGGCACTGATAGGCAGCACTGACCGGCACTGATATGTGGCACTGACTGGAATTGATAGGTGACACTGACTGGCACTGATAGGTGACACTAAAAGGCAGCTCAGATGGGCACTGATATGTTGCATTAATGTGCACTGGTAGGCACTGATATGTGGCATTGATGTGGCACTGATGGGCACTGGCAGGTGGCACTGATGAGCACTGACAGCTGGCATTGATGGGCACTGACAGGTGGCACTGCTGGGGCTACACTGATCATCAGGGCACACTAATCATCAGTGCCCTGATGATCAGTGTACATGTCCCCTCCGAGGAATGCTGATTACCGGCTCTCCTCTCCTCTGTCATCGTGACAGCTCGTGAGTAGAGAAATGCCGATAACTGGCATTTCCCTATTTACATGCGATCAGCTGTGATTGGACACAGCTGATCACATGATCGAGCCGAAATCTTCGGCTCTTTCTGTTGATCAGTAATCCACAGTGTCCGAGGGACACAGCGCACCGCCGATCGCCGTGCTCTCGGAGCCGCGCACATGCGGTTAGAATGGGAGGATGTCATATGACGTCCTCCCAGAACGTCAGAACCGCCTTGCGCCCGTCATTGCCTTATATGGTGGGCGGGAGGCGGTTAAATGGAATATTTAGCTAAACTTCCATAAAAATAGCTTTAGATATACTTTACGCTCAGGGGCGTATTTACCACAAGGCAAACAAGGCATTTGCCTAGGGTCGTATTTTTCAGTTAGGCATAGGGACTAGGTGGGATCTGATCTGAGAGAGGCTGCTTGATGGTGTATGCAGAGACCGACTCTTGTTCCCAGGGATATCCAGAGCTGTTAAGGTGAGTGTCTTTCTCTCTCTCTCTCTCCCCGGGAAGGGGGGGGGGGTTGTATGTTAGTGGAAGGCTCTCTTGGGGGGGTAAGTAGCCAGTGACAGTTATCTACATATACTTTTTTTCCTGAAATACTAAAAGTCCTCCTGCTTGTCATTTCTGGAAAATAAATCACCAGGCACGTATTAAACAAGGAAAGGAAGAAATATTAGACAAAGAACTTGCAGTTTATATTAAGCAGTCTTCGTTAGAACAATAAGGGTCAGAATTCAGCAGGTTAATTATTTTTGCCATACACTGTGATGCAAAAAAACAAAACTGATCAAATGTTTCCTGTCATTAGCAGTCTGAGTCAAGCACACACGATGACCAGAGCAGCAAAAGTAAGGAATGAAGCAATCAACTGTCAGAAAATCACATTTGCACTGTAAATTTGCACCAAGTTTAAATGAAGCATCCTCTTCAAAAGCCAAATCATGGAAATCACCAAAAAGTATCTAATATGTCTTTATCTTGTCACTGGTACAGACATGTATGATTCTTTCCTTCCCACTAATTCATTTTTGATTTGCTTGTGTACATTTACTCAAAAGGTACCCAAAGATACAAGATGGCAGGCCCTCCAACTAGCCATTATCAATCTTTGTCTCTAAAATCCACTAACCCATCCAGCTGGTTGCCATGAATGTGAGGGGGCTTCTGATTGGCCAGCTGTTGGCACCAAATCCCTTAAAGGAGAAGTACAGTCAAAGCTATTTTGGCTATACTTCTCCAGTGGATCGCAGTGCTGAGAGCCTGAGCCAGCCGCACTCTCCCCTCTCCACAGCCCAGTGCTCCAGGGAGTGTGGGGGGGGAGGCAGAGCACACAGCGGTGACTGACAGTCACCGCTCTCTGCTCACAGTGGCGGTGAGAACTCAGCGATCAGCGACATGTGATCACTGAGTTCTCCCACTTAGATCCGGCAAAGGACAGATGCAGGATCGGACCGATGCTGCTTCCACCTAAGTAAAGTACAATTTGAAAAAAAAAACACATCCCATACTTCTCTTTTAAGCTCCCACCCACCCTCTTCTTAGATAGGGCTACAATCCACTGCTGGTACAGGGGTTGGACAAAACTATGGAAACACCAGGTAAAAGAATGAAATCTTTACCTAATATTGTGTTGGACCGTCTTTGGCCTTCAAGATGTCCTGGATTCTCCTGGAAATTGACAAATATAAGTCTTGGATGGTGGATAATGGAATCTGATACAAAATGGAATCTGATGCAAAAATCATTCCAGTTCCTGCAGAGAGGCAGAAAACAATGTGTGAGACATTATCAGCGTGTTTGTCATACCATGATTTGACAACACCAGCTGTGTGGATCAGAGAATTATTGTCTTGGTCTTCCAGCAACAATGTCTTCATCATAGGGTACATGTGGTCAACCTAAATTTGTACATAGTTCTTGGCAGTGACTCTGCTTTTCAAGGTCATGATGGGGCCTGTACAATACCAAGATATGGCAGCCCAAACCATGGTTGTGCTACCACCATGCTTTACCATTGGCACAATACAGTCCTGGCCGTAAACGTGGGACAGTGTTCACCACACATAAACACATCTGGTGGTTGGGTCAGTGTGAAACTCGATTCATTGGACCATATTACAGTCTTCCATTATGACTTATGGTTGTTGCACCACTCTCTCCTCTTCTGAGCATTAATATTTGTCATTAGTGGTTTGGCAATTGTAGCTCACCCGTGAATGTCTTGCTTATGAAATTCCCTCCACACAGTTTTTTTGTGGACACTTTTGGAGCAGTTGTTTTCTTATCCTGGGTCACAATCCTGTGCAAAGTTCTTTTTTTGTCTCTTTCTGCTGACCATGTCAATGATGCTTATGTTTATCAGACGACATCTTCCAAGAAACTGTATATGCTGTCATAACCTTTGATACTGTACCTCGTGACACTGCAAATAAATTGGCAACTTCAGTCACAGAGGCACCTGTGATGAAAGCAGTGGCAACCTCTGCCCTTCTCACCAAGTTGTGACAAAGGACCAGCCAAACTCATACCGCACTGTCACTTGCGTAAAAATGCGGAGCGGAGGAGGCCCAGATCTGCATGTTTGAGGGACCCTGGCCAATCCTCTGGCAGAAGGCTGGGCATGGTGTCCAGGGCAACCCTCAATGGTGGCAGAGCCTGTGGACAGTCAGGTCAGTGTCGGGTGGAAGATGGAGTGAGAGGCTGGAGTGTGTTGCCTGAGAAGGGACCCAGGGAAAGGGCCTACCTACAGGCAGGTGCTAAAGAAGAGTATCTCCACTGTACCACCATCTTCCAGGGAGGATATCCTGATCAGCAGAGAAGGAGTCATGCCAGCAAAAGGCCTAAAGGCAGCCGCCACCCCATTAAGCTATCGGGAAGGACAGTGTGAGTACTCTTACACCCCATGGGCTGGATAAGGGGAGACTTATCCAAGACTGCTGTTCTACATTGGCAGTTTATGAGCCCCCTTGCCCAGGGGAATACCCTCAGTGTAGCTGGGTGTGGAGGAGGATTTATCTGGGGTCTGAGGAGGTACACAACGTTTATGACCAAATCCCAAATATAGTTTTATACTAATATTAATATCTTCCACAGTGTACATGTTGCAGTCTGGAAACTGTTAGATTATTGTTCAGCATTATTATTCGTGCCCAGGGAAACCAAACACAGAGTATTTCTGATGGGTCTGTCACCCAGGATGGAGGAGACTGCTTTCTCCTCTTTCATATGTGCTAGCTTAATCATGTATGACCTCGATATTCTTCATTCAAATATATATTTAATATTAATATGTCTTGGTCCCGTTGGTTTTTATGAATTGTGTGTGTACATTGTTAATTGTCTTACACATCATGCGTGAGAGAACAGACAGATTTTGTCATTGTTTATGACAGGTAGGAGGGAAGTGTTAATTTGTAGAATGTTTTATGATCCATAGAAACAGGCATCCTGCAGGAATCAATTGATGGTTTACAGCTCTGACCAAGGCCTTTATACTGGTGTCTGCTGTTCCTAGTTTGAGATAACAGGCTTTTGAAGTGTGTGTTAAAGCTATGAATTCCATAGTTTGCAGGAGCAGGAGTGGGGGTAAGACCACTGGGCTCAAAAAAACAAAATGGCTGAAACCTGACAAGATGGCTTCCATGTGCCTACTGCTCAAAACCATAACAGCAGCAGCTAAGCGAGCACCAACAATTTACCCTCTGACATGACATCAGCAGCAGCTCACGCAGTGAATTATGAAAGTGAGGCTTACCACCTGTTTCTCATCACACAGCAGAAGCAAAAAAATGTTGCATCACTTCATCTTCCAATGTGAAACATGTTGCCATTTTCACACCACTGTAGTTTTTAGCATCCAGCATTTTATAATCTACTCCTTGCCATAGGCCTTCCCACAACATCGCCATTAGCCTATATATTCACAAGAAAGGAATGTATACACAAAGTTATAATTTCCACACTTCACTGTTGTTCATCAATGATGGCAGTGGCACATCACATCACATAAGCATACTATCCAGTGTCGCTTGGCATACGTCACTAATCACATATAGTGGATGGTCCACAGCAGTCAAATTTGAAAGCCACACATTGCACATCACTGATAAGCTATCTTCCCTTAATATCCCACCCCTCTCCTTGGAAGCACCACAGTGTTAAAACCCATCTCCATAATGTCACGCTCTCACTCCCCAGGGTCATCAGTACTCACTCAGAGAGATCTAACTTAGCCATTAGGCTTTGTGCATCCAGTTCATGAATCCATTCATGTCATTGCAGAGAAAGGACTGCAGCAGCTGCACTACTAAATTATGTACACTTAGCCCAGGTGTCGCTAGAAGACCCAGGGGTATTAGAAAGTACAGCAGAGAACACTTGGCATACCCTAAAAGGGCTTATGCATCTCACTCTCAGCCCAACTAGGCCATGTTTCATGAGATAGGATGACTACAGCTGGTTCTTCTGGGTATTAGACTATCTCACCCAAAGCATTCTGCCCTATGCAGGACCTGTGCAAGAACTGACTACATTCACATATGTGTGGGGTTTCTGGCTCCCATGCCCAAATATTGTGGTCACACAGTTCTTAATTCAATAAAAGCACATCTAACTCCCCATTATATTCTAGCAGCAAATAGCATCTCACTGTTATATAAAATGTAGACATTTATTTATGGGTTTATTTACAGGTCTCTCGTATTTTATGTACATAAAAAAAGGGGGAAATCTCTTTCAAAGGGAAACTCTGAATATTACAGCAATTTTTATTTATCAGCAAAAAATACAGGTTAAACATTCTGTTGGCTATGGTCTTTACCAGACACCTCTGTAGTATTGTTTAGATCCTGGCCTTTATATGAGTAATGACT